AGGATTTTAAAAATGATTTTATTTTGAAAAGAAAGCATTGGCGTAGTACTTTTTCCCCAAAAATATTCAATGCGAAACTCGTAGGGATGCCACTGTTTGAAAAAATACAAATTTGTGTACACCAGAAAATGCGCCTTGAGGCATGGAACATATGTACCAAATATGCCAAAGATGTCTACAAAATTATCTCAGTTATTATTAAAAAACTGATTATATTTGAAAACTTTACCACCCTGTATCTCAAAAGTTAAGGCGTTTAGGACATCCGTCCATAGGAAGTTTTTTTCTTAAAATGGGTCTAAGAATTACCTCCTTAAATATTAGCATGTGTTTAAGGAATACCCTGTATATTAAAAAAAAATTAAGCTCATATTTCTATAAAGAAGCTATACCATTATGGTGTAAAAGGGAATACACTTTCATGGATTACAAGCTTTTAACAAAATCGCAAACAGTATGTATGTTTGAGAAATGAAGAATGCAATGAGTTGGAGGTTACAAATTCTATATAAGCTTATATCAACGTAGGTGCTCCACAGGGTCCTTTTTTGGGTCCTGTGTTATTTCTACTATATATTAATAATATTGAAAAACTATGTGAAAATGTTCATGATTCAATGTATGCAGATGATTTATCTGTACTTGGAACACGTTGTAATGAGCTGATCCGATCATTGGCTACATGATCATATAACAACTCATTATTCTACAATGTGGATAAGACACAATATCTCAGGTTTCACAACCGTCAAAAAAATTTTACAAAACCCGATCTTACTGTAAATAATGAAGCAGTTTCCAAAGCTGCCACCAATACCAAGTTTTTAGGGATGTGCATTGATGAACATCTCGATTGGAAAGTACATTGTTCGAGTCTGATATCAGCGCTTCATGCGCTTTGGTTCTTACACATTCTCAATTGCTGATGGTATATTACGGCCAAGTGGAGAGTCGTATGCGCTATGGTGTTTGTTTCTGGAGATGGTCAACCAGGTCTCAGGAAGTTTTCATTGCACAAAAAAAATTATCAAGTGCATCATGAATGTGCCTTATACCAAGAGCTGTAAAAGTTTTTTCAGCAAATATGAAATCTTAACACTTCCATCGTTATATATTGTTGAATTGTGTCTCTATATTTTCAAGAATAGAGATAGTTTTGTGAAGAAGAAATAAATACTCGGTCTCAAAATCACTTCCATATACCAATTTGTGAAAGTAGAGTACATTTCTTCTCTCCTGACTTTCAAAAAGCAACTCAAAAAATTACTTGTTACGAGATGTTTTTATTCAACAAATGATTTCTTCTCAGAAGATATCTCATAAGAATATTGTCATTAATGTTTCTGTTATATTTTACATTTTCATATGTAAGGTGAATAGGGATAATTGTGTTACAGTTTCTCTATAGTTCAACTTTGATTGGCTATACAACTAGAAAAAATAAAGGGAACGATATTAAAAATCAACAGTACACTGACAGGCTTGTTGGGCATGCGGAACTGTATTTTCAAGGACAAGATGATTTATTTTTGGAATTTATGGTATTTTTTTAAAATTATGTCATTATATCACATTTACTCCGTGGTTTGGGGGTATTGTGATAGCTTACTATAACTTCCTATTGAAATATCAGTATCGAGTGGATGGGGAATATGTGATAAAATAATCTATAACGAAAAAAAATTATTTTTTGCAAGGATGTATCTCAAGAAGCTGAAGAGTTTTGAAATATTTTAATGTGCAAGAGATAACGTTATCATATAAAACACAAGAAATGAATTGATGAACGAACTAAACATTTAAGTAAGTATTGTTTATGCATACGATATGATTCTATATCATTTGCATTATGAACAGGAACATTAAAAAAATAAAATCTCATATGGAACATAAAAAATTATAACACATTATATTATATTATAGCCTTGGAATTGAACATTGAAAGTGAATCTTCTGCCTCTCCTGTCAACTGTTGGATCTGGTAATACTTTGACAATGTCTTGTTCAGAAATAGTATCCACATCCTCAATAAGTGGCCAAGCAAATTTACCGTTAGAGAACTTAGTAAATTTCACATTCCAATCGAGATCATTTCTCTCAATAATTTGACCAACATAATGTTTCACATATTTCTTGGAACAGTACTTGACCAAAAGCCATTTGCCCACTTCAATGTATCTGTTGAAGTTTCCACTAACAAGTCTGACTGCATATCATTTAAAAACTCCTCATCTTCATCGGATTCTGTGTATTCTGGAGAAAGATGAGCGTCTTCATCACTCTAGCTCCAATCCGGTGTTCTCCTATATTTTTGTTTGGTTAATTTCTTTGAGGTGGTTTCATTAGTTTTTCTGAGTTGCTTTTCTTTCAAGCGTTGCAAAACTTCGTGTCAGTACCTCTGATCCAAAACAAACCCTTGTTCTTTTTTGAGGTTTGTCAATCGCCGGAGTTTGCCTGATAGTTGCTAATAAGATACTTTCGAAAGAAATATTTTCTTTTTGTGGTACTTCAAGCACAGATGTTGCAGCAATAGTTTCATTTTCGGTCGCATTGGTTTCATTTATTGAAAGTGAGGATGCAATAGCTTCTACTTCATTGCTGATATTTTCCTGAGTATTGTCCTGTGATACTGAGGCTTTTGGTTGGTTATTTTCACCATTTGGTTTATTGCTGATATGTTCTTCAAATTGTTTCAAAGTAGCTGGAGCATATGAATCTTTAGGAATGACTTCATCATTCAATGGGTGAATTCCTGCTTTCTTGAAACCATTGGAGATAACTTCTGGGCTAATGGATTGCCATGTTTCACATAAAAACTGTGAAAAAATATTTTTTGGCAACTTTTGTCCCACATGTTGTCTTTGCCACACAATCAGTTTGGCGTCCCATTCACATTTGAAAGACTTGAACACTGACAAGTCCAGTGGCTGTGGGGTGGAAGTTCAGTGGCTGTGGGGTGGAAGCTTGAGAATAGTTATATTTTCTCTGATATCAGATTCTATTATAACTGGATCGATATGAGTTCTGTGACCATCATATACTATCAAGGCGGGCTTTTTATCACCTAAAGCTGGGATGATAGTTTTCATGAAATGATTCCGAAATACATCACTCTCCATCCACCCTTTTTTAGTAGCTGCATAAACTGTTCCAGGGTAGCTCACAACTTCAGGAGCAATCCATTTATCCCACAGATGCCGACCCTTGAAAATTATTAAAGGTGGGGCTTTCCCTCCTGCAGCGTTACACATTACTAATATGGTCGTGTTTTCTTTTCCAGGGCTACTTATTGTTCTCGAAGACGGCTTTCCAATTCCACCTACCACTTTACTTTTTCTGGGATCTATTGACAAGCTTGTTTCATCCAAATTCCAATTCTGTGATGATGGTTTGTTATGTAGATTCAGTTCATCTAGCGTAGATTTTAGGAGTGAAAAGTAATTATGAATTGTGAATGGATCCAATGCTTTTTTTCTGTAATATTCCACATTTTGTGGTACTTTGAGACTCAAATGGTGTCTCTTCCTGAATTCAAGGAACCATTCTTCACCAGGAGTACCATCCTTGAATTTGGTGACAATATCATTTTTGTTGACATAAGACCCAACAAGTTCTAGAACTTCCCGCCTGCTCAACCCAAATCCCCACTTTTCAAGTGTCCTGATTCCATTCGCCAATTCAACTTCTTCATCATGTGGAATCGTAGTTGGGCGCCCTTTGCCCTTACTTATTTTGCATCTCAATCCTGTAGCTCGAGCATAGAGTGAAGAATATGGAATATGGAATGCTTTCGATGCAGCGTACATACTCTGCTTCCTTGCTCTGACTGCTTCTAATGCATTTTGAAGATCAACTTCCGTATAAACCGGCTTAGCCCCTTTCTTTTTGTTATTGCGAACCATGATGGACACAACTGCTGAAACAAAACCATAATAATAGTACTGGAGTATGAACTGATGTAACTTTTATATAACGGGGCAATTGTGTTATCATTATCAACATTACCCCTGATAGTAAGTGTCACATTTGCCCCATACTCGTTTTCACTCGGGTAAATGTAATGCAACTTCAAATAACCTTCCACATAATAATATCGGCTTAATCTTCATAAAGAATACATTTACGGTATGAAATGAGTATATAGGCATAATAAAACGACTACTTACCAAGTTGAAACTACGAAAATACAATTTTCGAAATAAACGGTTTGTATTCGTATTTCAGGTTATGAATAAGACTCACGCGCAACAATGAAATGCTCAGTAGTGCGCCGACTGTGGAGATGTCGGATGTATCAAACAGTTTGAAAGAAATTTATGACTCACTATCACAATTGCCTCGTTATCACATTCACCCGCATTCACCTTATAACATTTTTATATGTTTTCATATATTTTTAACGGCGAATATTTGTATTCCAAAGCTCTAAATGTGATGTTGTTGAATCTACCTTGTATGTTTTTTTTTCTAGACTTGACTATTCCAATTCAATATTTTGTTTCTTGGAAAATACATTAGTATTATTATTATTAGCTTTTGCTATTTTTGTGAAGAAGAATAAAAATATTCAGAGTCAAACAAGTATTTTTTCTGTCATTTTGATTGTTTTTCCATTAATATTACAAATAATCATTTGCATAAAAACTAGTTCGCGTGGCATGCTTCTCATGAAGAAGTTTATATGAACTGAAAATTTGATGTTTTTTTTCTGAATAAATGCGTTATATATTGGAAATGTAAGAAAACGATGTAGATTAAATATAAAGAGGTGATCCTTTGTACATTCCAGCTGTTTGTTGACTGGGAAAATACAGCAGCACGAAATCCATTGAGAATTTCAAATAACTAAAACAATTTAAAAGTTATATGAAGTAAATTTTTATAACCTTAAATTGAACCCATCGCTGGGACAGAAAGTTCAATAAGACCGAAACAGAATTCCTAAAATCCAATTTGGATCAAGTATTCCTGCATCCTGTAAAAATTGCATGGAAATGCGACATTCTTTCTAGAAGTTCCAAGACTTGTGAACTTTGTATTTACATTTATAATTAGCGTTGAACATTTCTTTACGATATTGGATCAGAAGTTATTTAAATGTAAATCTCGGTGGCAGGGAAAAGCATTTGTTGCGGCAGGAATGAAAAAGTGATGCTAATTATGAAGGCAAGTGAGTGGTGGTGCTTGATGAAAATGGATGTAGGTTGTGACAAAGTTGTTGCATGTTTGAAGATGTCATTTAAAATTATGCAGCTAGTTGAACGCTATTAGAGCGGGAAGTTTTCAACTATTCACTATTTTTGTCTTCTTTTATTGTACCACTATTGAAACCTTATTTGCAATCCTAATAGTGATCTTGTACAGTACCTTCCACTCAAAATCATTGGCTGAGGTAGAGAAAGATGCAACCATATTCTTAGAGAAAAAATCGTGTCAGAAAATGTGACTCATTCATTCATATGAATAGAGTCACGAAATCGAGTTAGTGGCTCTATGTATATCTCAAGAACGGCTGGACTAAATCAATTGACAGCAATCAAAACATTCAAAAACTTAACAAAAACTAAAGATGAAAGAAATTGACCACGATTGATTAATGGGGTTATGACAGTTGTCATGGTGCACGTGAAGAAAATAATGAGGTTATGACATTTATGATTATGCGCGCATGAATAATTGTTATGTCAAAATAGTATAATCCACTAGGGAATCGACCAAATCTTTCTTGCACAAGAGAAACTCATTATTCAGTGTTATTAGATCCATTGTTTTTGCAGTAGATCTCCTGTTTTGACTCACGAGCTGATGTACTGTTTGAGAGTTGAAATATAGTGATGACTCAGTCCACCATCTATGTGGAATGTATATAACTACTCAAAATAAATATAGAGACACATCCTTGAAATCCGATAAGTGAAAAAATATGTATTATTTCATGATAAAAATTTCTGGTGTGTACTCCATACTAATTCTTATCATGTTCCATTCGGTTGTTGTTTACTTTTTTTGTACTTCTTTTTGTACTTTCAGCTACAAAATCATTAATATGAAAAATTCTGTATTTAGTTTCACTTTACTTTATTTCGTGATAGGTATTAAATTTTAAAATTTAAAGAATGAATGTTGATATATTGGGTAGAAGGAGGATACGTAGGGTGTACCTCAATGAGTTTCAAGTTGCTAGAGTAGTGGTAGTGATCAAAGTAAGGTATTCAAGGCGTCGTGTAGCCCAAATGCTTAATGTTAGTCATTCTGCGGTTTCCAAAGCTTGGAATCGCTACCAAATTTACGGCATAGTGAAAAGAGCCCCTTATCCCAATCGATAAAGGGCAACAACTTGCAGAGAAGATCGATTGTTACGACTTTGAGCAATTAGGTGTCGCACCGATTTTGCTAGAACACTGCAAAATCGCCTTATAGAAGCTACGGAAACGCGAATTTCGAACCAAACCATATGATAGCGGCTTCACGAAGTACAACTTCATGCAAGACGACCTGCTAGAGTCCCTAGATTAACTTCAGCTCATCCGAGGAGATCGTAGAAACTTTTGTCAAGAGCATCGTAATTGGAATTTAGAGCAGTCGGCCAATGTAACGTTTACACAATTCATGTTATTCAACAATGACGGACGTGTTCGGGTATGGAGACGTCCCGGTGAATGCTATTTGGATGACTGTGTGCAAGAAATTGGAGGTGGATTTGGAGGTGGATCGATAATGGTATGGGCTGGTATAACTTTGACAGGACACCCGGCCTTGTGGTATTTCGGGAAGGGACTTTAACGGCTGTCCGTTACATAGAGGAGATATTGGAAACTCATGTCGTCCCATTTGCCCAAAATATGGGCGCTGGGTTCATTTTACAATAAGATAATGCCAGGCCATACGTAGCCAGGGTCGTGAGAAATTTCCTACAGGAGCACAATATTAATGTTATAAGATGGCCAGCTAATAGTCCAGATTTAAATCCTATTGAGCAGCTCTGGGATGAACTGGAAAGACGTTTGAAGGATCATCAACCCTTCCAAAATCTGAACCAAGTTGCAGATGCTTTTTTGATGATTTACGAGCAGTTACCACACAAATAATTGGAAATTTGTTGGAAAGCATGCCTCGTCGTTGTGCCAATCTTCTTGGAGCCAGGGGTGGACGTACTCACTATTGATGTTTTCTTAATTTTTTTCTGAGATAAATTTTATTTGTTTTTGACACTCATTTATATTTCTTTTTAATCGTATTACCAAACAGATTTTTTAAACAATGTAAGTTAAATTTAATAAAGGCACCTATGAACTATTTTATGAACATAAATGTTTGACAAAATAATACATATTTTTTTTACTTATTGCATTTTAAGGACCTGTCTCTATATTCATTTAGAGTAGTTTATAAACTATACTTTCCAGTTCTTTTGTATCAATCTGTTTTTTTTCCAACACACAATCTACCCCCAAGCATGAAAATGACTTGACAACACTGGCCATGTCAGTATTGCCCGACTTTGTGGTTCACGAACACAATATATGAAGGTTGATATAACTCAGCTCGTAACATAATATTCAAATTTTTTAAGATGTTATAAAGTTCGTAAGGCTAGTAGTACAATACTTGTCAATTAACTTTTACAATAACACCGCATTGTCGAAAATATTTTAGTTGGCTAGAGAATGTCCGAATATGCCCTCCATTAAATTTTCAAAGTGATCCGAGGTCTGGTTCACCAGAAACGTCTAATGTGCCATCCACCGTGAATCAGCCTGTATGAAGTTTGATATAACTCAGCTTGTAACATGATATTCAAATTTTTTAAGATGTTATAAAGTTCGTAAGGCTAGTAGCACAATATTTGTCAATTAACTTCTACAATCAGAATCTATAGACGTGTGATAACAAATAACGAAACAAGTTCAGTAGTGAATTGAATTCATCATTTCTGTTGATTACAGTTCTGTTCAAAGTTCGTTTCTCATGAACATCATACAGGTTAACTGTTGAAAATTTCATACTTCATCAATAACCAAACAACATTTTCAGTCGTGACTGAATGAACTATATTGTGTGGTGGTTGCGGATTGTGTTTCTAGTTTTGATTTTAATAAAATCAACATGTACAAGTACATAAACCGCGGTAATATTTATCCATATTCGAGAACAACACGTAGGTATTTATTTTGTAGTGGCAGCAGCAAATTACGCGCGAGGTTATTTACCTGAAAAACACTCATGATACTTTGACTCGAAACAAAAATACAACATGGCAATACATTTTTAACTTTTTATTTACCATTCAAAAATAATGATATTGATCTAAAAAGATAAACATCAGAAATTAGTTATGGACAATTCGGTTACGGAAAAAATGTTATATTAGTACCTGTAGGTTACCAATTGAATAAAGATGATTAGGTAATCAGCATTGGTGTTTACGCTACTGCGAATACTGATACTAGGGAACCATCGACTATATATTCTACACTGTCATCAAATTTCGAAAGGTTAACGTTCACCACCAGATCAGGTGCTCGATGCACACGTTTTCTTCTGAGAACATCTGAGAAATTTCCTTTGAAATGTTTTGATAAAAGTGGCATATTTTTGAATATCGCACAGTTTATTTCGAACAAGTCACAACATTCCTCTATTATGAGGATTTGTTTCAGAATCTTCATATTATCTGGTCTTCACTAAGTTGTTTTTTACTGAAGTAGTGACATGAGTAATTTTTGCTCAGTCAATCGATATATGTATTGCCTTACACGAAAAGAGTTTCTTCACGTTGTTCATCCTCCTAAAGTTTTTTTAGTTCTTGTCGTACAATTACTTAATGAATGGTATTGAATTATTCAGGGTAGAGACTGTCAAAGATTTAGGTATATACTATAACTGCACACTCTCGTACAAA